CGCCCTGGGGGCCCGGGGCGAGAACTGCCTCCTCCTCCCCTCCCCAGGGAGGGACATTTTTTGGTAAACCTATTTTCATTTTGGAAAATATTTATGAATAAATAGTTTTATACGACGGCTGGCAGCAGCGGCCTCTCCTGCACCCCCTCAGGAGTCAGGGAGCAAGGTGGGGTCCTGCCGGCGTGGGCGCCGGGCCAGCTGAGGGTTGAACTGGGAGTTGTACCGCCGCCGTCTGTCGTCTGTCTCCTCCTCTTCTGGCGGACACTCTGGTGGTGCCCGACCCTGGACCTGGGCCAGCAGGGCCTCCGCCCTCGCCCTCTCAGCTGCTTCTCTCCAAAGACGTTCAGCTCGAAGCTGGTCCAGGGATGGGGGCCTGCTGAGAGAGGAGTGGGTGGGAAAGCTGCTCCCTGACCACTTCTGGAGAGGAAGCTGCTCCTGGAACCCCCGGCCTGCATCCAGCATGCCCCGGCCTGGGCTGGAGGCCTGCTGGAAGGAAGCCATGTGGTGCTGGGACACCATAGACAAGATCTCTGGCCTTCCCTTCTCCCTCCAGGCCAAGAGAGCACACTGAGCAGCACCCTGGTCTTCCCTGGGGTTCAGTTTCCCCTTTTGTGTATAAAAGAGACTAGAGGCAGTGCACTCCCTCTACATGCAGGCGGAGCATGCTGGGGGCAAGAAGCCTGCTTTTACTCTCCAATCAGTGGTTCTCAGACTCTGGTCTCAGTACCCCTTAAACTCTCAAAAGCTGAGATTCCCAAAAGCCTTTGTTTAAATGGGCTATATGTGTTACTATATAGCAAGTTAGAAATGGAAACTGAGAAGTCTTGGACCAGGCATCCACTGTGAGCCATCAGTGATTGTAATTTCACTTCATGTAGCTGTGGAAGGCTACACTGCACACCTGAGAAAGAGTGAAGAAAGGCTTGACTCCACAGATCCTCTGAGAGGGTCTTGAGACCACTGGGGGTCCCAGGACCACGTGTTGAGAACCACTTAGTCACCCCTGGCTGGGTCCCTGCCTATCCCAACCAGAATTGCTGTAGTGCCCATGCTGGGCCTTGGTCAGCCCAGGGACTGAGTCTTTCTTACTCCTTGGGCCGCTGCTTCTCAGGCCCCTCCTTTTCCTTTCTGCCATGACTTCCCTCGTTGCTGCTGTGCCTTCTCTTCCCCAGATGCTTCTGCATCTCCCTCAGAGGGTCCAGGCGGCTCTTAATCTTCTGGTCTGGGCCTGGGCCAGGTGGGGGTGCCCCTCGCCCTGGGGGTAGCTGGTACCAGGGGGGCTGAGTCTGGGCCTCTGCTGCACTCTGGCCCAGGTATGTCAGGATGCCCAGAGCTTTCTCTCGCCGCTCCTGAGGGGGCCAGAAAATACAAGAGATGGGATACAGTCTGTTCAGGGTGTCAAGTGTGTCTCTCCCAGGGAGCCTGGATGTGACAACTGGGAGACCCAGGCACTCTGTCCCGAGAGCCCCTGATTCTGGGAGGCAGAACAAGTCATTGAACAAACAGCTAGCAAAGGGCCTCATGAACCAACTATGCCAGTGCTGGGGACACAGCAGACCAATGCAGGCCAAGCTCCTGCCCTGGGGGACAATGGCAGGTACAGTAACAGAAAGCAGTATCTTTCATAGCTCAAAGGCAGGCATCTTGGGAGAGATACTTGGGAAACCTGAAGGAAGCGAGTGCCAGGTGGGGGTAGCAATTTCAAAGTCTGCCAGGAAACCTCAGAGAGCAGGTGAGTGACAGGATCGATCGGGTGGAGACCCCTCCAGTTGGGACACTTGACAGTTCGTTCACCTAGCAGCCCCACAGATGGGGGTCTGCAGTATCTTCCCAGCCCTATGGTGCCCCATGGCAGTATCTAACACTTGAGTGCTGTGCTTCTGAAATCTCCATGTTGGCTCACTTAACCCCTTCACCACATCTCTGGATGCCTCAGTCCCACCCCGTGGCTGTAGTGCCCCAGCCCCAGGCCTATTTATGACTCCAGATGAAGCCAGTGAGGCCAGCTTACTTTCTCTTGCCGCTTTTCTTCCTCATACTCTTTATTGCCTCTGGTCACCCCTTTTCCTTCCTCCAGCAGCTCCCGAAACAGGTCCACAGGGCCAGAACTTGGGGTTCCCGCCTCTGTGGCTTCAAGCTCAGGCACTGAGTTCTGATGCCTGGCTTTCTTTCGCAAGAATTCTGTGCGGGCCTGGGGGAAAAGAAAGTTATAGGCAAGACGTTAGGAACCTAGAGGTACTTCCAAAACAGTCTGGTGTCCACCACAGAAAATGGCAGTCCGTGGTGCTGGGGGGTGTCCTGGCACTGGGAGCCCTGAAGAGGCACCTGTCCCAGCAGGGGACGAGAGTGCAAGAGGCACATCTGGGTGCTTCTTGTTTTTATGATTTGTAGGGTACAATTCAGGGTTAGGTATACAAATATTCATTATGCAGTAACCCTTGTTGATGAATATACCTCCGCCCCTGCCGCCTTTAAAATAGTAAACCACAGATCATCAAGGATGCCTGGGAGGAGATCCCTGGTCTAAAGCAGGGGTGTTCCCAGCCTCAAGTGACACAACCGGCTATAAAGACAGCCAAACTCTGTGTTAGACCAGGAGATCTGAGTGTCAGGCACGATTCCGAATCACTACCGCAAGTCGGTCGCTGAAGCCCTGTCCCCGCCTTCAGCACGCAGATTTCAAACTCCAGACCACCTCCCAGCCACTGTGGAGGATCAGATTAGCTAAAGGACTGAACTTTAGGTGTAAACCGTTCCGATCAAGGAGAATACAGAAAGCCTCCCAGGTGTGTGTGTGTGTGTGTGTGTGTGTGTGTGTGTGTGTGTGTGTGT